CCTGATCGGCCTTTATAGAGAGCACCGATCAAACTATTAAGAGTGAATATCGGCCGATAATGACCGGCGGGGCTCCCCCCCGTTGACAGTTCACTGTCTAGCACTGGCTTCGTAGTGCACTGATCGATTAGGCTAAGCTAACCTGTAGCTGCTCCCTCCACACTCACAACAACTTCATACAGACATAAATAAAGCAGCTGTATTCGCCATACAGGAAACAAACATTTAAAACGGTTTTGCCTGTCGTTTTTGTGTACACAAGCATTCATCAATGGTTCGGAAAGTGGCGCTGTGCCTTAATAATATAAAAGATTGTATTTGCGTGCATTTCCTGTTCGGAAAGTGGCAATGTACTGACTGAGAGTGGAGGTGTCCTGACATTAGCGCCTGCAGGCACTGCGCAAAATGCGTACATGAAGCGCTACGTCATGAATGCAAGAAATCTACCCTCGTGGAGGCGCGCTCATGTGATTGGCTTAGAATTGAGGAGACATCTGATTGGCTATAGATAGAAACAATTACAAGTACGAATCGGCTGACCGTCAGGGGAGTCTCAAAAAACCCACACACGAATGCACAGCGATCCGTGCACAGAAAGCGGTTTGTGTTTGCAGGTGCAGGGGTTTTAAACGGAAAACAAATATGTGAGGATCAAAAATACATATGTAAAACTTTTTTCTGTATTTGGATTGTATTTACATTAGGGCCGGGACTCGATTAAAAAAATTAATCTAATTAATTAGAGGCTTTGTAATTAATTAATCGAAATTAATCGCATTTTTAATAACATATAAATATTTGACCTAAGAACAGTGAGAAGCAATTTTTTTCACATGGATTTTAGTATACCATTAGGCGCATTCACACCGCAGTACTTTTTCCACAAAGGTTCATGAGAATTTAGTTCATGAGAACTCTTTGAACCTGGGGGAGGATTAGGCAAATGAAGCCGCTGACGTCACTTCTTCTTCTTCTGCTTTGGGTTTACTGGTAGGCCGCAAACCACTTCACGGCGTATACTGCCGCCCAAGTCCCCGGCCGGAAGTCCCCGGAGTTAGGGACTGGCTTCAGTAGAAGCTGCTGGGACTCCCAGCAGCTTCTACTGAAGCCTTCCGAGTAAATCGCCAGAACGCCGACACCTCCTCATCTCCACCGCTCCCATGTTTTATTTTGTATTGCCATAAATTAGTCTCTCTGCGTTTCTGCGCTGGGCTAATGCTAATGCTAATAATGCTAATGCAAGGATAATAAAATGGCGGCTTCACAAAACTTTTTGGGAGTTTTACGGGGCGTGGTTTGCAATCTGCCCAGCCAATCAGAAATATAGCTCTTTTCTCACAAGAGAGCCGCACGAAAGTCCCTGCTCTCTCGCAGCTCTCTGCTCTCTAGCAGGGACTTTCGTGGGGGTAAAAAGGTTCTCATGAACTAATTTTAGTACCGGCTCTTTTTGGTGTGAACGCGATAAAAGAGGCTAGCTTCCACGCTAGCTGCTATATGTTTTGCATTGAGGTGATACTTGAGGCTTGATGTGCTGCGGTGATATGCGAATTCCTTTTTGCATAATTTGCACACAACCGTGCTCTTATCGACGCTTCCATCCGTTCGTTTTTTAAAACAACATTTCCCACTGTGGTTTGTTGTTGTCTGAAGTCATGAACGTTAGTTGGTGCTCCAGTATAATCGGTACGCCTGAAACTCATCCAGTGAGAAACGTTCCGCGGTGCAAAAATAAGTGCGATTAAAATGCGTTAATTTTTTTAACGCGTTAATTTTTGTGTAATTAATTAATCTTAATTAACGCGTTAAAGTCCCGGCTCTAATTTACATGCATGAAACGGAACACATTTGTGTGTGCATTGAAAAACACAAGTGTGGATCCGGAAATACAAGTTTGAATCATTTTGCAGATCATGAAATACAAGTGTGAATCCTTCTGTGTGCATGTGTGTATTATGAGACTGTTCTGAGCCCATACATCAAACCTGAAATCGTTCTAATATCCATCAGGGGGCATCTCCACTTGTCAGTTTGTAAAGAAGTCTAAGAGAAAATGACTTCTCAAATAATTTAATACCTTATCATTTACCTAATGACTTTATGGCCTCGATCACCAGTGTCACGTGTTTTTCAAAGCAGATTCATTTTCATTTCGGAAATGATGGTCCTATTGTGATGGTTAGCGAAAGCAAGCACAGTTACCCCTAGTTTCCACCGGGTCCGTCTGCGTCGCGTAACCGCTGCGCCGCGGTTTTGGTCCGGCCTCCTCCGGCGTCATACCCAGCGTTTCAGAAGCATTTCAGAAGCGGAGCGTCTTGCCTGCCGGCTCGCAGTTTCAGTTGATTTGAGCATATTTCTACTTTGTACAGACAAAGTTAATAATAATTGTAATATCCCAGTTATAAACGACATGAATCAAAGATGTGTTGCTGTATTTTAGTGGTAAAATCATCATAATTATTCTATATATATAATTTACACAGTGCCTGTAAACCGGAGGAGAACGCTGGCATTTCTCCTCCTACTTGAACGACTACGGAGGGATAGGGTCTGCAAAATGAGTTTGTGTGTGTGTATACATATATATGCTATATATGCTCTGAACGTTCCACTTCCTGCCTGCCCGACATTACCTTACGGCTGCGTCGCGTCGAAAAATAGACTTCAATCCTATTTCGAGCGGAGCCCAGCGGTGAGACGCTTCTAGGACGCTTCTGAGCCGTAACACGGCGCGTCTGGTGGAATAGCACCCAGTGACTAGAGTGGCCGCGATCCTTGCGGACGCAGCGGCGGAGCCGCAACGCGGCCGTAACACGCCACAGACGGACCCGGTGGAAACGAGGGTTTAGCCGTTAGAAAGATGTTTTTGCGGGATCTTAATTTTCTCATAACCTCAATGCACTGGCATCTGAGAATGTTGGATATGTAAATATATAATACAAAAAAAAAAAGGAAATTAAAGTTGAATCTAAATTGTAACCATCTTCAGCATTCAGTTGTACTTTTGTCCACTTGGGGGGAGCAGAAACAAGTTGTGAACGCAACAGTGACACATAATCACTTTTCAAGTTGATATGCCAAGGTTGTTAGCAAACATTGATTGTTTTCAACATGCAGCATTGACTTTGTTTGGAGTCATGTACCATATGTGTCCACTCACATAATGTAATTCCTACCTTCACTCTCTTTTAGCTCGGTTTTGGGTCTCCACCAGCTATTTGGCGAAATATCTGGGTCTAGCTGCATCTGTCTTAATCATTTCTGGTCATCTATTACTATTTGCTGCAATAAAAATACCAGAATTCTCCATTTACTTATTAACCTTGGAATAATTAAATAACAATGGCCTCGGTATTCATCAACTATTTGTGCATATGCAGCATCACGGTCCTGAGTGAAGAACTTGAAGACACGAAAAAGGGTTGATTAATGTTGTTCCTGGAATCCCACAGTAACAGGAGACATTCTGGTTTCCACCGGCCTCAGCACATTTTCACAGTGAGCTCTGTCTTTGGTTTGGTTCACTAACCATCATCAGTTAAGCTAGCATTTTTAAGGGCAAAAGTTATTTTACAGCACCCATTCTAGTGAAACATTGACGTGGGCAACGCAAAAACACATGTATCCATTGCAGATTTTTAAACTGTAAATCAGTCATTTCGGAAAGTTGTGAAATATCAGTGTTGTCAAATTTCAGATTTGTCTAAATGCATGTATTATGTAACCAGAGGTAGATTAGCCACTCAGGATGGACCAAAGGGAGGTTATTATGCTGAAATCGTTCAGGCATTGTTGTTTTTTTTAGCCTGTGCCAATGACAACAGACTGCAAATGCTAATCTTGTGTCTTATTGGCAGATCAAGATATGTCAACAGCCTGGCTCCATGGCTCCATGCCTATTCAAATTCACCCACATTCCAACCATTAACTTATATAAACAAGCAGATAATGTGCAGAAGTTCACCCTGTTGGTGTATAGAGCAGTAGGCCTACTCAATATTTGGCTTTGAGCGTATTATGGCTGACAGTGTTGGTGTTTGACATCATGACCTTGGAGTATGTGTGCACAATAAGCCATGCCAAGTGTCAACATGATAAAAGAGTTAATACATGCACATTTTGCACAAGATCTTCAAACTGAATAAGGACTAAACTACAGGCAGATTAAACGTTTTTATTATGAAAAGCTTGAGTTTTTAATGCCCTTTAGAATGTGCTATTATGTTATTTCAAATGGTTTGGACTGTGGAACACAAAACAAAATAGAAACAGAAAACCTGAGTGGAGTGATACATACACATCTCCCAATATTTGAACAAAGCTTAATAAAACGACTTCCGAGCCCAGGATGACGACATGGACCACTCTGCAGACCTGCTGATGCTGATAACTCTAGCGAAAAAATTCATGCGATTATGCTGCAGAAATGTTTGCTAAACACTATTACACACAGCTCACTTCTAACCTGAATTAATGTTGTGCTGTGTTACAAAATAGAGTAGAATGGTTGCATTCAATTTTCTTGCGGAAACGTTATATTTTAATGGCAGAGGAAAACATTGGCTTTCATGTGTGACGGTGACAGTTACTGCTCGCACAATTCCAATCTGGGTTTAAAATATTTAGAAATGTCAATTTTATGCCAGCTATATGCTAATACATAACTTGAAATAAGAAAACCATAACAGACAATTATTTTACATTTGTTTAAGAATTATTTTTGTTTTCATCAGCTTCTTGCAAGTAATACAATAACCCCCTTCATCAGGGCTACTCAAGCATTAAAACCAATTTTGTAGATTTTATCTTTACGATTTGTCCCTGAAAACAGTTGATCCAACAATTTCCAGAGTATAAGACCCTCTCTGCACTCCTAATACTAAAATAAAGAAGACAAAAACCTGAACATTTGTGCACTATATGCCTGTTTTCATGATCCGTGCTGAATACAGTACCCAGCCTATAATAGTGTGGCTAGAGTAACAAAAATAACAAAACACAAGTTTTATTAAATGTTTATTTACACGAAATGTACACATTTGTTCAGAAATCACATGCACATGAATAATTTAATCATAAAAAAAGACAGCTAAAAACACAACTCTACTGGAGTTTTACACAATGAAGCCCCTTTAAGTGAAAGCCTTGTGACAATGGGTGAAACCAACCTGACCTGTACGTAGTTATAATCTAGAGACAAGCTTGAATTTCAGTCCAGACAAGTACCATGGCTGTATAACAATGCTGAACAGACACATTCAGGAAAACCAGGGAGGAGAAAAAGGAAAGTTCACATGGATAAAGTGGTGGCCCTGTCACAAAATAAAAGACACCCAGTGTGAAGTAAGTCATCTTTTCAGTGAGTCATTAAGAGTACATTCAACAGATGTTACACTGTACTGTATAGCCTCTGCTTTACAGGCATTTTCACTTAATAGCAGTCATTTGTGAGGCAGAGATAGGAGTTAACATGACGAGTTCTTGTTCACAAAATAATAATACTAATATTGGACTTTATTTACAGTATATTATCCAACTGGCTTGAAATAGGAGTATTAAATTCAAAGTAGCCCTGTTTGATACTGCCCATTCACTGTAACACTGTTTCAAGTTTCTGTGTGCAATAAGCAGTGGGACATTTTAAAAGTGGGACTGTGAAAAGCAATGGACATTGGTCCCTTGAGGGGTAAATAATATACAGTTATAGAGCGCACCAATACTGCCGACTGTCTCCTGACTGAAACGTACGTCAACAGAGCATTGATCGGTTATAATTTAACCTTGGGTGCTGTGCTAAGCGGTACTTCAGTTTTTCATGCCAGTGCGAGCCCCCAAAGGCAAACATGAGCAGCGAGGCCACGTCCTGAGCAGAGCTGTGGCTACTGACGGCCTTTCAGACAATATTTACATGGCAAATACAATGAAGTGAAAGGGTGCTAAAGAGGCAAAAAAAGGGAGAATATTGAAGCTGTAAAAGTTAAGTTCACCGCACTGCTATGGTAGATTGCCCAAAATGCAGTCAGCAGAAAAACAACAATAACACCCGCTTAATTAACCAATTTTTAGCTATATGTCACAATGGAAGGATGATTTACAAAGTCGTTTTTTGTCACACGGTCAAATAAGTTTGTGTCAAATTGTTGCCATTGAGGCTTTTTTCTTTCCTTTCCAATTTTTCTCTTGGATGCTTCTAGACTCCCAGATGTCACTGACAACCTCTAGTGCAGTCACAACTCTATTGCTTACAGTCAAAACAGAAGTGTCAGACACAACAACTCATCAAGGACTTCACAGAAGAAACAAGTGATATACCAATGGAAAAAAGGACAGTTGGCCCGTAAGCTATTGATTGATGTTTCAAAAATACAGTCTGCAATGTAAAAGACTTTTGAACTGTCCTCATGTGATGGAATTGTGCAATGGGAGTAATATAAACCCACGTAGCCATTGAAAATAAAAAGCTACCCTGTCCTTCATTTGAATAAATATTATAAAAACACCAATATGGTGATTATGAATAGAAGAAACTATGGGAATTAAATACGTTTCCACATATCATTTCTTATGAGTAGAAAATAAAGCATTCATGGTAAATAGTTCTTGGTTTGGACATTACAATACGAGTGGCATATATTTGATCAAACCATATTCAAAGAAATAAATAGAGTAGATGTTAAATTCTCATTAGTCCATACTCATCAAGATGTTGGATTTTCATTTCTTTGTTGTATCTAGAACATTCATTTGAAATGTGATCTTATCTTTGGAGTCCTTCATTATCAGACTCCCAAAGGTGCAATGGGATATTCATTTAAACAATTCACATTAGAATATATATACTTCAATGGCTGCCAAGTCAACAACAGAGGTCCAGGAACATGTGTTGACTTTAAAAAAGTTCAAGACTGTCTCAGGATTCTATATTTTCTTCCTTTGCATATTCCTCTACGAGTTTCTCATAGGACTGTTCCGAGCCGTCACTAGTGAACACGGACCCTTCAGACTCAGAAGTGGGCTCCTCCTTGGAGTTCGTTTCAATGTTTTCATCACATGTAGTAATGGATAGTTTTGCTTTGGAATCATCATCATCATCATCATCATCGTCGTCGTCTCCCTCCAAGTTATTACTGAGGAAGTTCTCCTCGTCTATAAAACTAATGTTTGCGTTTTTGAAAGTTAGCGGATGGTAATCCTTAGAGTCCCAATTCCTTTGCCCACCCGCTCCACAATCTCCCACCCCTCCGTTCTCCAACTCCACGTCCTTGTCAAGCTGGTTCTCATACATTTCGAACTGGTCGAGTTCTAGGTCTCCCTCTACTTGGTCCTCTGTCAGCAGCAAACCATTGTCCGAGCCCAGGAGGTAGTTCTTGGACTTTGAGAAGGCAACAGTGACTCGGTCGCTGAAACTGTATCGTCTCTTTTGGCGTGGTGAACGGTCAAGGCTGAGGATGGTGTGGCCGTTAAATATGGGGGCATCATTGCAACTCTTGGACCGATTAATATCTTTGGATGTATTGATCGCGTTGGGACTATTGCCGTTGCTTCTGCCATCTTTTTTGGTGCCGATCTGTTTTATTAGGTCATTGTAGCCTTCCTGCTTCTTGGACAGGAAGCTGAAGATGTTGACGTCATTGGGAGAGGGAGGTAATCGAAGGGAGGCCTTGTGAGACTCTTTGTAGTGCCGGAGCTCATCGAGAGATAGCTTGCGCAGCCTGCGGCGTTTCTTCAGGGCCTTGTGGGCCTCAATCACCATCCGTACTTTCCAGTTGAAGAACAAAGAAAGCCAGGCCAACCCCAGATAAATCCAGACTTCCACAAAGTATCGGTACAGAGTTGGATAGTTCGTATTCGGATCCACACCTGCATGGAAAAATAGTCAAAGGTCATTTGTATCCAATGTTTTGGCCTGGTTTCTTTGATTGGTTTAATACGTTTAATTCCCATCTTACCTGCTACAAGGTCCCCGAAACCAATAGTGGTCAATGTGACGAAGGAGAAGTACAAGCCTTCAATGTATGACCAACCTTCTTGCCACATAAATACAAAAGGTGGAAGGACCAAATGGACCAGCACCCCCCAGAGGAGAAATATAGCTGTGCAGGTAAACTGAGCCTTTCTCTGGAAAATAAAAATAAACATATTTCAGGTAAGTTGAAGGTTTTGTAAAATACCACACAGAGCTTCATTTAGGTTTCCATGAAGTTGACAAAAAGCTCATATGAACTTACCAGTGAAAACCCTTTCTTTGTTAGAAACTGGCCCAGGTGCTTGGCTCTGCCACCGAAGAACTTTCCCAGCTCACTTATCCAGGTAAGACATAAAGGTACCCCAAACAGCCCGTAGAAGATGCAAAACACTCTGCCTGATGGCGTTTTAGGAGCAATGTTTCCATATCCTGAAAACATTGAAAGTGAAACATAATTGGTTAGGATGTGTCAACAGTGTACAGCTATTTCTATCTCTTTAGTATGGCTTTACAGGAGAAGGAAAAACCTTTTCCCCAAAATGGGTTGTCTTTATCAACCAACACAAAAGGTTCTCTCCTCCCCCATCAAACCTAGATCTGTCACTGGAAAGTACGTACCGATAGTGGTGATAACAGTGGCAGCAAAGATGACAGCATTGGGCCAGTTCCAGTTGTTGAACGTTTTGCTGCCAGTGATGGTGACCCCTTGGCCTGCAGCATCTGAGACCGCCTGAGAATAACGAAAAAACACAACTGATTATTAGCTTGAATTCGACTTTAAGAGAAATACATTGACGTTGAACAAATGGATGCTATCAATTGGCAGTTATTGAAGGGCACATGTGGATAAGATTGAGGAAAACAGGAAGTTTGTTGTGCGTAAGCTCCATTTCGTCCACAGCATCCTTCATGTGATATCATGATGGTATCTCCAGTGTTACTGATGAGCTGAAACAACGCTCATGCACTCTGGAGAACCAACGTTGCCTTGAGGGTTCTACATTTCCGACCACTGCTTACATTGTTAGAGAAACAGGAAGGCATAAGCATCCATTTCATAATCCCATGATGATACATGATACAAGCTAACTAAGTGATTCTTCAGCGGTTGCATTAATGTTTGTTTTTCCTGTATCAAGTTCCAAAGTAAAACTGAATATATCCAAGAAATTCTTCAGGAAAAGGGTATCATTTGTGCCTTGTCCACAGGCAACCATTTAGAGCATGGGCCATCAGATCCCTCTTGAAAGTTCAGCGTTGACATTTAAAAGAGAATGAAAATGCGTAATCAATCATCCCCAACCATATGTGTGATGGAAAAGCCACAACAGAAACTGAATTCCTTGTTGGGTATTTGCAACGCCTGGCCATCTTAGTTGAGACAATGCTTTGCCCCCCGCACCAAAGTTCTTCTTTCTCCAAATGTGCTTGACGGGGGGAAATATGCAGGGGTTGACAACATTCATATAAGCCTTTAAGTACTGGAAGATGGTTGGTTCTTTAATAATAACAGGTCTGTGACAGTCCTGCTCTGTAATTACCAGCACCAGGGGAGGCCAGTCTTTTGTCTGCTGAAACAACACAGTACCTCCGTTGGGCTTCAGCATGACAGCAGTGATGACCAAGTTTCTGTTCGAACCATGACTAGAAATTAAAAAAGGAAAAACCTCACAAGAGTGGACAACGGTCCTGCTTACGCACTTTCACTTTAAGAGTCCTTCTGAGTACAGTGTGTAATGACTGGTTACATTTATATGCATGGGTAACCTTGTAATTAGCCCTGTTCAGGCTAGAATCATATTTGATGTAAGCTCTAAACAACTTCCCATCCCTTATGAACCAGTTAACACTACAGATAACTGTTTAACCCTCCTGTTGTCTTCGGGTCAAATCCGACCGATTTACTACTTTCATCAATCATAACTTTTTTGTTTTACATTCGATTGCATTAAGGCTTTATGATATCCTTCACAGTAGACATTTGAACATATACAATTGCTGATCACCACTTTCATTGCATTTTGGATGATTTAGTCAACTTTGTAACACTAAATTAAAATTAATTGGGCAATTCCTTCTTGATTGAATGGTTTATAAAATGTAATTATGGGGGAAATGTCAATCACCGTATCCCAAAAACCAAGATGACCTTCTCGAAAGACTTGTTTTGTCCACAAACTCCAGTAAATGTTCACGTTTAAAAAGACTTCAAAGACTGCAGATAAATGATATAGCTGACAGCCAATAGATGATGCAGCTGTAGTGTATCAAACCAAAAGAAGGTTAACTTGACAAACATGCGTGTTGACTTCTCCAATCTGCCCACAGACAAAAATTGCTTCAGATGTACTGACTCTAACCTTCCAGCACTGTGGCTTATACCAATGGAAAGTGATGATTATAACATGAAAATAGATAAAAAATTCAAATGACAGACCACAACCATTCATACATTCCTCTGCTGCAAATATAAAATGCTAAAACCCCACTCTGTAACAGTTTGAGGTTTGTTTGTTTGTTCCGTCAAATCATAGAAAAGTGACAAATGTTATGTTTGTGGTCTGTGTGTGTGTGTGTGTGTGTAATGTGTGTGTGTGTTTGCTCTACACTTTATACTACCCCAATGAGGATGATTTGCACATGTTCACAGTCTGCCTGCCAGATAAAAGTGCTGAAGTTTGAAACGTACAAAATGCTGAATCACATGAATACAACGAGGACAGAGTGCAGGATAAATCACGGGAGTAAGCGTTGTGCCCTCAATGAATGCCACTCACATAGAGGACAAGGAACATAACCTTTAAAAGGCCTACTTTAAAGGATTACAATGTTAACTTTTATTGCAGATCTTTAAACATCATGTCTTGCTGCCTTGTTTTTTCTATGTGAAGCCCAATACAAAGGCTAGGAAGGAGTACGTAAGCACAAAGATGCCCAAAGCTAACTAAACAGGCGTTGCGATGCAAAAGGTCCGTAAAAGGTTAAAGGGTCAGCTAGTGGTATGGTGACTCGGGTCACAAATAATCCTGAGAACAAGTCAAAAAGGCGAAAGCACTGGGGGAGAAAGATAAAAGAGACTTTGTGTCAGAAAAGCAGCTCAGAGGGCGGTGGGTAAACTGGCTTCTCTACAAGCCTACCCAATAGAAAACTGGATATTAGAAAGAAACTGGGTCTTCTGCAAATGTCATAGTTCTAGGTAACACAAAATGGGACTTTTTTGGCCAAGAGGCACACCCCATTACAGTCTAAGAAGTCAGGAGGGTATATCTTAAGATGTTCAAATCAGAGGCACAAAATACTGCCCTGGTGCAGTAATGATTAACGTTAGTGTTTTTTTTACACTTTTACAACATGATAGGAACTGACTCGATTAGGGGTTTGACAGAAAAATACACTTTTGGTTAATCGATGAATTGTTTCAGTCCTTTTTCATGCAGAAAACCTTCTCAACAGTGCTTTCCAATACACACAATTGTTGGCTTATGTGCTGCAATTGGCAGTAAACAGCAGAGCGATAGAGTGCAGTGAAGAAGCAGGAACCGTCCTTTACATTTCTGCAAGATCTGACCTTTTTCCCACTGTTTTTAAGCCTTACATCCATATTTAAAGGATTTCATAAAGTTGTGAAAAAAGCTTGTTATGAAATGCATTATTCTTAAATGAATATTGATCAAAACAATGTGGTGCTATTAAACAGCCTCTAAAAAGGATTCCTTTACTTTTCTGGATGTGAAAATATTGCCTAACTGCCGGCATCTGCCACACTGATAAGCAAAGAAACGGTAAAAAAAAACAAAACACATTGACGAACTCAACTGTTATCAAGACAGCTGTTGTCCCAGCATACCATTCCAGCTCGGAGGTATTTTTCCACTAGCAGCATGCGAGCACAAGACGGCAACAGCTGCTGTGGTCAGGATTGATCTGACTGACAAACAATGAAGTCACTCAAGCTCCCGCATATCACTGTGTATTGATTTCTGATACAGACGAGTTGCAAGCAATGTTGTGCGAGAAACAATGCTGAGACTTCACCGCGTGAACCAAAGATCGGCCTCAGCGGAGAGAGGCTATTTAATTCCTAGACAGTGAGAGGATTCTTACATCTGTCAAGCAGAGCATATCACACCATGAACCTATTTGTGAGTGGCTGCTTTACACTGGGCTGATAATACCGCGTGACTAAACTTAGTTCATTAACACAACAGATGGCATTTTGATTTGGTTTATTGTGCATCTTTGTAAACCTCTGCAACAGCGTAGAGGAAATTAATATGCCCTTTGGGTGTCGAGCAGACCCGGCGTCATGGGCGGACCCCATGGGGCCGGGCCCGCCCATCCAGGATTTGGGCCCGCTGTTTAAATCAGGGCTGAATACAACATTTTAATTGTTTTATTATTATGTTCAGTGGCGGCGCCAGGGTACACTGGGGTCGGCTACAGCCATACCAAGAAATGTCTTAGCCCCACCATGAAAACTGATGTTAAAGTAAGCAACATAAAGCCCGCCAACTCGCGGAGTTAATTGCACAGACAGCAGTTAGTAAGATTGATTTCAGCAGTCACTTGTCTGGAAATACCGAAGACTAGAAATGGTTTTGAAAACTTTTGTCACGTAGTGATCGTCTTTCAATAGAACATCTTTGATAATGTCTTCTGGCCAATCAGAATCAAGATAACGGCGTGGTGTTGTTGCAGGAAGTCCCGACGGAGAATACTTTTGCTGTAGTAGCTACATCTCTATATACATCGATACAACATTACGTGTTGATAGAAATCAACACGTAATGAAATGAGACCCCACAGTTTGATGATAGATAGGTGTGTGGGCTGTCTTTCATTTTGACACACAGAACAATGGGGGCTATCCACCCTTATCCACAAAGTAAAGTCATTCACAGCCTCTTCCCTCTGTGAGGAGCAGCAGGTTCAGCTTTCAGAACAAAGTAACACAAAACTAAAATGGCATTCATTTTTTTAAATATGTCGTGTAGTAATAGATGTATTTATTTGTCTTCTCAAGAGAGTACCAGAATGTGTATTTTATGTTAGTATTTCAAAAAATCTCCTGGGGGGACAATCCGCCCCAGACCCCCGGGGCTGCAGGGGTTGGGTTTTCAGCATGTCAACTCTTTCACTTGTGGGGAAATTGCAGGATTGGCACAGCGTTACAAATGTGCCACAAAACCAACCAATGGATGTATATATAATAAGACCGTCAACAGCCTAAACCCCTCTGTTTCCGTGACAACAATTCACGAGCGCCCCCCAGACATTGACACCTTCCATGACTTCAGTTCAATGCTTTTTAAAAAAGGGAGGAAAGACTTGGCTATTTCCAGCCAGCAGCCTCTAGACAGCCCCCATGGCACATGACAGTCAGCTACCCCTGAACACAGAGCGCTACTTCATTGTGCCGTTCCATTCTGATGACTGGCCATGTTTGCATGTGACAGCAGTGTGTGGAGAGCTCTGTTTGCACACTTCTCATTTGGCCACACATGGTCTTTAAGTCATGTGTGACGGGACTCTCACGCGAAAAGTTAAATCAAATAAAGAGATGCTCCTCGGATCATTTAAAAAGGTAACGAGTGCAAACCAAAGCTGCGCTGAGATAATTGGTCAATGTTTGACTCATTACAGCTAAATATTGACCCTAATCTTCTCAAGACTACATTGAAATGTCTTGCATATCCAATGGTCTGTCCTGCATGTATAATTTCAAAAATGGTATAGCATAGAAGAATCTAGACACATTGCTTTTATTATGTTTTTATTTTCCTTTTAAATTAAGTTTGCTTTTTGTTTAATCGTGCATCGATTAGTTAATCGATCCAGAGAAAATCTATATGAAAACTAATTAGATAAATCCATTCATTGTCTTTCAGTCATTTTCAGTCCAAAACATGAACTGGTTCCCGCCGGACAAATGTGAGGAGTTAGTTTTCTTTGTCACATGACGTCAATTGAATATCTATTTATGGGGAAACTGTCACTGTCGGCTTTGAGAGTTTGTGAATGGCATGTTTTCTTAAACATTTCACAGATGGAACAATCATATCTATAACTTGACGTCAGAACATTTTAAGCATTACATTAGCATTTAAATTCTCATAATTGGTTACAATACTACATTTATAATTCCTTGTCTTTTTCTTTAAAAACGATCATGCAACTTTTAAAATTTGCCGCTATAATAATATATGTATTGTTGCTAATTGTTTGGGGCATTTTACAGAGCCTGGACATCACTCAATAGCAGCAGACATTATTTATTGAAAATGTGAACTGTGCAAAGTTTGATTTTGTATCAATTGGCAAAAGGTTGACGCATTATATGTGTTTGTGTTCATTTGCAACACTTTGTACGTGTGTTGTTCACACTAAACACCAACACTGAGGAAAGTAGCACAATAGCTCAACATACATACAAAGCTATGGGAAACACTTTGATGAATGACATGCATACATGCATTCAAGTGTTAGTTTAGACTTCATAATGCATTCTGCTTCTGCCTACAGGGCTTCTGCAAACTGAAACACAGACATGACACTTTAGCTCCGAGAACTCTGTTCAACCTTATTTGCTGTGGATATAATGTGCAACCACCTCACCCCCGCCCCCTTTCTGAACTTGTATAACCACTTCTTGAGAGCCAACATTGATGGACCATAAAATCCATTCTGTGAACTGTGACCACTTCAAGGATCCTATAGTTAATAGTAAACTCCTTGTTAATAAAACAGAGACGACAAACTTTTACTAGAGTGTCGCCTTATCTTGTTAAGCCGGCTTTATATTTGAATTGTTAACAAGAGGCGCAAAGTTTCCACAATGGAAACATTATAGAATCTCTGGTGCTAACACAACTGGGGTTGATAAAGGCAGCTCAAGGGCGATAAAGTGGATGTGTATACGCTTTCATGTGGGGGTTCTAAAGCCTTTGCAGCAGGTGTCTTGGCTAACCCTGTAAAGGAAAAGTACTGGCAAACTACACCTCTGGAATCATTAGAATGTTTAACTATGCAAAGAGTGGAGAAGTCAAACAGGATTTGATACTATCTTTTCAAAGTGCCTTGAAGTACATTTACTCAAGTACAATTTGAGGTAACTGTACCCGAGTATTTCCATTCCATGCTACTTTATACTTTAAAACCACTACATCTCAAGAGACACAACTTTTTACTCCAGTATCTGACAAATTAAGGCACTTTTAACATTTAGTTTCAGCAAAATAATACCAAATATAATTAGCAAATCATCTTGTTTCATTATAGGTTAAGATAAAACTTTATTGATACTTTGGTCTAATTTGCTAATCATGAGTAAATAGTAGTACAAAAAAGCTCCTCCCAAACCTTTCGCTAATAAAGTGATGAATAGCCATAATGCATTCATAATTATAATTTAGGCAATGTTTTGGCAAGAATTTGGGATTTGATAGACATCAAGATACAGCGTTTAATATATTGTGATTATATGTTGCAATACTGTAAGCAAGGAGATATATTCAGATATGTTTTAAACGTATTTTGGATAAATGTCAAATAAAGACCAACCACCATATATATATATATATATGGTGGTGGTGGTTGGAATATATCTCCTTGCTTACAGTATTGCAACATATAATCACAATATATATATATATATATATATATATAGAGAGAGAAAATCAATTCAATGAAAAAACAATATGTGGATAACAAAGAGCATCAATCATTTGTTCACACCATTCTTTATCTAGAATTGCCTATTGTGCAAGATGAGTAGTTGCACTTCTAGTCTTCGTGTTTTTTGTGGATGCTAACACTTGTTACATACTATTTGAACACTGTGGTATTACTTCATGCACCTAATTCAAATTCAGAGTACTTCCTCTTTTACTGGTTTCAGTTGAGCGCCTGCTAACAGTTCAACCAAATAACAGCTCTTTCGGCTGCTTTACAGGAACAAAAAGTCTAAGACCTCTCGACCATAATATTCCACATTAGGAAGCAGATGGGGGGATTTGGCTGTTAGAGAGATGCCACGAATGGGGAGGAGGGGGAGGCTTATGGGCATATCCCTTTCAGTCCCCCCCAAACACAAAAAGGAGAAGCAGGAGGAAGCAGAAGGGGGGATGGTGGGATAATAAATCTCCCTAATACTGATGTGGGCCCAAAAAGGGGCACAGGTTGAGACATGTTCCTGGTGATACTTGCAAGGGGAAAAAGTGGAAAAACAGCATTCAAATAAACCACTGTCAGAGATGCAGAAAAAGGATCCCCCTGATATGGTGCACTGCATATACGCTGCTGTTTACACTGCAAAGTATCTGTGTGCGCTCTTCGTCCATGCTGAAGGACTTTCCCCTGATACGTTAAGATGTTGTCACATTCAAACAGAAAGAATAAAGGTCACAAAGCCTCCACAAATCAAAGATATCAAAATAACTTCCTGGATGTCATGGGGCAAACACCTGCAGTGCTGACAGTAAAACTACAGAGGTCAATTACACCATCTTTATCTTTAATTGCGATAATAACAAGATGTTGGCAATGGTCATGGAACACCAAGTCCTGCAGCTTTAGGGCGCAGGTTACAGATTGGCATCATAATCACAGCATCAGGTTTACAACTGCAGATTTGATATAGGCCTACTATAATTATCATATTTAGACTTGGACATAAGGGCGGTCCCCAAGAAGATAGCATTTATGAGGACATGTGGGGTTATTATGGAACTTGAATGTTAATTGCCAATGTGACCTGTTAGGCCCTCAGGCTGGTAAACACATTGGGGGTGTGTTGACTCACAAAGAGGAAGCATGGACTGACAACTTCTCATTCCTCAGAAATGTTGTTAGTTCTTGGAGAAAGTGTACAGAGCAGCTGAGGCTCATTAAGCGCTCATGTGTTACAAAGACAACAAAACAGAAATACCATATTTAACATCGTTTATGTGATTTTCTTAGAAGTGCCAGTAGCAGTTAAAGTGGTTCACATCATGAGGTGTTAAAGAAATCCAATTCAAATAAACAACAGTTAAAGAAGATGACCATACCTCTAATATGTAGTCCAAATCATCTTGCGTCAGACAGGGATGCTTCTTAAGTATTGTATCCTTCTGGGTACTATAGTCGTTTGCAGCTCGCACCCAATTGGGCTCCTCCAAGACTTGAAAAATTGCTGCCCCAATGGACAGGTAAAAAATAATGGCAGAAGTCAACAAGGGGCCTTTATCTACCATACTTATGACTCAACTTGGAGAACGCGGGACAGGGGGGAAATAAAGAGAAAGGAGGGGGTAGATAACAACAAAACCCGGAGTTATGCGGGACTCATTCTCGGCAAGTCTTTCGCTTCACAAAATGTTTCTCCGTCCGCGCGAGGGCTGTGAAAAAAACATGAGAGGTGCCGCTCCTGACAGCATTGGGCTCGAGACATAACAGGATGAAAGTGTTCATAAAGCGCGTGCTATGGAACCGCAGCTGCAACTGTATTGTTTCCACGTGCGCAGCCGGAGGAGTAGTGCCTTCTGAAGAAGTGAACTGGGAGTAGTGGAGAGGAGCAGCGAAGATCCGCCCAGAAAACCAGTAAGTAGGGGGGGGCAGCTGCTATGCAGTTTGTTTCGTTAACTGGTGGTTGCAGGTATACAGCCGCAGTTGTTATGGGGTTGAAAGTAGCGCGAAACTTTGGAAAGTATCTAAAAAAACGTTTAAAAAGTTGAATATATTCTACAAAATTCGTTTTTTTTTTTGCAAATGTATTTTTTAGAAATCTACATCAACTATAAGACAGTTGAGTTTTAATTGAATTGTAGTCTTTTTAATACTATACTACTCAACTCAAGTTATATAAGATTATTCGAAAAGTTGATATGTTTCGAAATAAAAGTTGACATGTTTTAAGTTTCTGAAGTGTACAACACATTTTAATTTCCACTTTAATAAAGCTTTTCCAGAGATGTAGTCATGAGACACTCTTATTGGAAACTGCCTCTGCATACAGTTTGTATCTCTTTTTATATTGTATTTTTCTTGATATATATTGTGCAGTTTTCAAACTTGCACTACTAAAACAACAAGCTATCTTTGATTACTCTTTATAATCTATTTTGTAAGCTATCAATTTTCAATTTAGAGTGCAGATAACAGGATTTTGTGGCACAAACTGCCGATGATTGCTCTTTTTTCAGCCTAAAACTTGACTTTTATGTTACCAACTGGAAAGAAAATGGGCAAACATTTACTTAATCATTGCCACTGGATTTTCTCCCCCTGTAAAACATTACATTTCATATTAATTCAACTTCCTTCAGCCGTGGTGAATCATTGAGAGTCCTTATATGCTTAGGGTTGCACATTAATCACATGATATCAGAGAGTGCCATCACAGACAGTAAAAGACAGTTATGTAATTATCACTGTGGTCTCTTTCCCACACATATCGGAAGAGGTGTAGCCTCAATATCTCTTGAGGGTTGTTTGGTGATATAATGTTCATCAGTATGCAGCAAAGATACAAATAAAGAGGTGGCGTTCAAATATTGTGGTTGGTTGTAAAAGGACGAGAACCAAAAGGTAAACCTTGTCAATGTCCAGAATTGAACTGCTCAATTGTTTGCCCTAGTGATGGGTTCTGTTTTCTCTGTTGATGCCCTGAGGAGCAAAGGTCAAACTAAGAGAATCGACAATCGGAGGGATGAAACCCTCTTTAATGGTCACACATGCAGAGCACACAGCACACACAGTGACATTTGGCCTCTGCATTGCACCCATCCTAGTACCAGGGGTCTGGAGCAGTGGGCAGCTGTACAGTTCCCGGGGAGCAATGGGAGTGAGGGGATGTCCAGTGTCTTGCTCAAGGGCACCACGGCAGGGCAGGAGGTGGACTTGGACCTCTCCAAGTAGCAGTCCACACTCCATATTTAGGTCTGGTCGGGGACTTGAACCGGCGGCCCTACGGCTCCCAGTCCAAGCCCCTACTGACTGAGCCACTGCCGGACAAAAAGGAACACAGTTATTGGTTTGTGTCCAAGTAGAGCCATAGATCCTCAGACAGAGATTATTGTTAATTATACTTTCTGTCAATAAAGGGACTTTATTTGCAGAAAAAGCAAAAATCATTTTGATTTTCAAAATTGTTGTTGCCACAAGACCTCAATGCACTTGTGGTATACAATTGTAAATTGGCGGTTGTGTGGGAATCTATGGCATGCAAGACAGCAAAACATTGCATCATGATCACTGGTGTACTTCCTGCCCAAGGCCCTCTTTTTACAATGTGGGTAATTTTATTTTATGTTCAAGAAAGTATACGTTAACTAAAAACGTACACAGCTCATAATTAAAGGCAAATCTGTTCATTGCTTATGTTCATAATGCATCTGGAACTGTATACAAGCTATGTTACAGCTGTGTGAGTGATACTAAACTGAATTTACAGATCTGTGCAGATAGTACAAGTTTAACAAATCAATGGAATGAAAGGTGTTAAAACATTTGGAAGAGTAGTGCAGACCATGTTGGATAAAAAATAAACACATTCATCATGTCAAAGAAAACCAAGACATTTAATTTGTTATGAGTCAGAGCATACATTAACATGCTTACAATTAAGATCTTTCCTCATTCAAATATTTTGATTAGACTAAAATCACTAATTTTGAGTGTCAGCAATACAAATCTAGGATGGGTAGGACACAAGTGTTTTTTTCTCCAAAAAAGAAAATTGGCTTTGAATATTTTACAGATGCCTTTTTTTAACACCATTATTCAGTGAACCATAAACAGATAAAATGCCCTTATAGAGTTTTGGAAAAGCATGCATTTCTAAATCAGCTGACTAAGCTTGTGGTTAGACTGACTTGAACTGTAAACCAGCTCAGCATGTTAATCAAGGTCATGACATAACCAAATTCTTACATAACACTCATTCCTCCTTTGTAGTATCAACCATTAGAGCACTTGACTTACTGTATAGAGATTAAAATAATCAAATAATTAATAGTATTCTGCTTTTCAAACATTCAACATGGTTTAAGCAATCCTCTTGATGAGTTTTGTGTTTTCACATGTCACTAAAAAGTGAAGAGGAAGAATGTAGCCCCCTGAGTTTGACATCAAGACTGTTTTCTGATAATTCATAGACATGTTTCTTTTCTAAATGTCTTTTTGAGGCCTGTCAATAGCAGTCTTAGGCCAAGCACCCACAGATGTTTAGATGGTACCACAAACATTGCTTTAGAGCTGCTGAAGGCCATGGTGGTCTTGTGGAAAGCCCTTTGGGATTCAAGGGAACTTCCGGTGGTCAAGGCACCCGAGATAAAACAACCGGAAGAGCCTCATCAGATAACAAAGTATCCACAGTGGACGCATTAACACAAGTTTCATAACCAGAAGTCTCAAGAGGACATAATCTTTTTAGGGATCTTTGAATTCCAAGAGCTTCCGAGGCATACTCAGACTTTAGCTTTAAAATACTGCGACCGGCATCAACAGAAAATAAGGATCATACATTGTTACGATACTTGTATGCTTCATATTGAAACCAAAGTCATTTCTGTGTCTTTCATGGTCATCATCACCTCTGCCTCAGATTTTTTATCTTGTGATCTGCTAATTTCAGTTTCTATCAGGTAGCATACACACAAACTGCCAGGGTAGACAAGATTATTGCCTTGATATACGGTTCACTTGCAGCAAACCATGCAAGTCACCTTGTGAAAGCAAAGTAGGAGAACACGTTAAGACCCATTTTTAATGAATGACCTTAAACAAAATGGTATCCTCACGAAAAAAAGCTTTGCATTGACGATAATACACAATATGTAATTTTCTGTCACTAGGAGTCTCTTAGTCAAAACAATAATCAAAAGGTTTGGTCGCATTTTCAAGTAGTGTGGGAAAATTGGAGTGAAAGTCTTCTAAACTATTCCCATCATAGCAGTCAGCTTATCCTGGTTAAAATTCTGTTCAAAGAAATCTGAGGTTTTACGGCAGAGCATAGCGGCTGTGCTAATGACCGGTCAGTATTTAAAAAGTCATTTAGTTTTCACTCAACCTGTCAAAAGAGTTTATAGTATGTGATTCCTGTTTGCTAAGTAATATTGTATGCCATCCCTTTGTAAAGGGTTATTTTTAGATTGTGTAGGTGCGTTCGGTGATTTGACCATGTGGAATGACTGAAGAGCTGCTTCCTAGTCCCATTGTTTTATGTTTATGTTTTTTTTCTTTTCCCGAGAGTCTTGTGGGAAACCCGCACAATCAGGCAGCTAATTTGCTTCTTGTCGGTATGTGTTTCTTTGAGCAAGCATCTTTACAGTGTGTGTTCCCAAACTGAAAATCATGGACCGACAGGCAGAATCATACTGTCCATGCTTCATGTCAAAAATACATTTTCAAAAAAACACATAGATTAGTATATGTGGGCACATGCGGTAATGGAACTTGTATGGTTAAACCAGATATTCAATATTTGAATCATAATATGAAATGCCGTAGTATACATAACAATCATTTAAAGCTTCTATATTCCGGTTCAAAACAATAAAACTGTATAAAGTCTGTGTCACCATTTAAACAGGCATATTAAAAAAAATGTGAGGCAGGTTGCCATACAGCAAGCACATTGGTTGAAATGTTAATAACAGATACCCTCAAGGCTGCAATAATTTTACTGCTGAGGATTCTGAGTTAATGCACTGTGGAGGCCTAATCCACAAAACCTGTTCTTTTTGCAATTCTGAATCCTGTATAAGATCTTACTCTGACTGCCAGACCTGAATATCAGTGCTACAAGTGTGTATTTGCTAGTAAACTTTCGCAGACTAAATGACATTTTGTTCAATGAGTCGTTTTATGCTGCAGGAAAAGTGAAACCATTGGAGTACTTTGCAGTTTGAGATTGTTCTCGTTGCTCCTGCACAATGAGCAGGCTCTCTGGCAGCTTTTTGTCTCTTGGCTTTTGTGTAACACAATCCCTCTGCAACTACCGTTGGGTTTTAAACGTGACAATGAGAATAACTCAGGTTCAATTTCAAACAAATACCAACTGGAAGGTCCCACATCTTTTTTTCGGGCGGAAGTTACCAATATACTGCCAACAACTGTAATGCAGTGGTGCAATTAGCAAGGCGATGTGACAAATACTTTTTGGGAGGGCTGCTCTCAGAGTTTAACATTGGGCTGGTATCACACTAAAAACATCAGCATAACCAGCATGAAAGATATTCATGATGCAAGTCTACCATAGATAAAAGCTGTTCAGCAGATCTTAAAGGATCACTCGGCATGTAGAGCACTAATATGCATGTGAAATCAGTTGTAAATGCGATGTGAAAATGTGAAAGAGTTAAAGTTCTAAGCAAAAAACACAGAATCCCCAAAACTGGTCAACACCGTGTGGTAGTGCACTTCAATCACAATGTATCTCAGCCCTATCTGCCATTATTTACAAAATTAACATCATGATGTGTTGAAGGAGCACAGGAACTAGCGATTGAGACCATACAATGATTATACAATTGTTTGCTGAGTAAA